AAAAAAAAAAAAAAAAAAAAAAAGGCATTTGCTGGGTTGTAGGGTTGTTGTTTTCTTTGAGGGGGTTGGGTTTGGGTTTTTTGGGGGTTGGTTTTGGGGTGTTTTGGTTGGTTGGTTGGTTTTTTGTGGTGGGCTTCTTGTTTGTTTGTTTGTTTGTTGGGTTTTTTGGTTGTTTTGTTGGGGTTTTTTTGTTTGTTTTGTTTTGTTTTTTTTTTTAAGCTCTGTGTGTGGATATGAACGTCAGTACCAGGGAAGGGCTATAGTTGATCTAACTGGGACCAGTTGCCTTTCCAGGAGTCTGTGATGCAGACCGAGTCAGGTGGCACTTACCCAGGTGGGAAAGTGGTGGGCACTCTAAACGAGTGAAGATAAATCTACCTGTTGAGCAAATCTGCTCAACTGGGAAGCCTCTCCCCTGGTGTCACTGAGCTCTCTCAGGACAGAAGGACTTAATATCCTTCTGCCAGACAGCCCCCTCGGGGACCATCTGGAAGTCTGTGGCAAAGAGAGAAAATAGCCTTCCCTGGTTAATTTTTCAGACTGTATTGAGATAAAGCAGATGTTAGCCACCTAAGTATCATGTGCTTCCACTGTCCATCAGTCAGAGATTGCCAGGCTGCAGTAACAGCAGAAAAAAAACAGTTACTTTGGACACAAGTGGACACGGCTGCCAAGTGCCACCCCATGTCCATGCGGTGTGATTACCCAGAAACAAGACATTTCTTGAAACACCTTATGTGGAAAGCAAATGTTTTTGTAAGAAGTGGGTAAAGAAGAGACCATGGCATGAGACTTCACAAGCTGGTCATATTCTGTCCCTAGTACAATTCATAATAAAATAGGGTTTCTTGCATCATGTTGAAAATTTTCTGCATAAGCTGTTTTTCCCACTTGACTCTAAGAAATCAAGCTGTTCTATAAAAACAGATTAATGTATTTGAGAGTCTATGAGAAATAATCAAAACATTAAATTAAAAGGAGGCTGATGTGTTTTATTTTCTTGAGATTCCAATTGTTCATTTTTACTTTAATAACTATCATATGGAATTCTTTAATAACTATGACATGGAATTAATAAGGCATAGTAATGTGATGGCAAAACAAAATGTTTTCAAAGATTATTTGAATGTTTTCCAACAAAAGGAAAAAAATATTGAAACAAATTTTGAAATATTATTCATTCTTTCTCATTTGGGACAAAATTGTGGCTTTGAACATTGTTATTTCCTACAGAAATAAACTCTGAATTTGAGTGAGCTCTGATGTTATCATGTAAGTGATAAGGTGCTATAAGGCAGCTGGTTGTGTGTATATTTCTTCATCATGCAAGAAATGCAGTAATGCTATGGTTTCCATCGAAAAATATGGTAACTAATCTGGAAGATGCTTTTTTAGTATAAATTAGAAGGAGCCTTCAGTGTTCAGTCAGCTTCAAAATACTCTCAAGCTCAAATCAATTCTTAACAGTTTTGGGGCGGAGGGGGCAGTTTGAGGCTTTTTAAGGCTCAAGGTGTTTTGTGCCCCCAGCTCCTTCTTGATAATGTAATGTATGAGGCTGACCTTGGCATGCCAAAAGTAGATCATAAATGTTACTGGTGAGGTAATGACTTCAGCCCATGACTTTGCTACCACATGCCCAGTTTTCAACAAGTGCGGAGCCATAAGCTTTCTTTTGGAGTCCTCATGCAGGAATTGGCATTTGCAACCAGGTTTCTTTACCATTTTTCTTGTCTGGGAAAAGACAGAAAAGATTTTATACATTGTTAAAGCTGACAACTAGACAGACAGCACTGAGTTCCACCAACACCTAGTCCATCCTACTGCAATTACAGCAAATTGTCTGTGTGGGACCTCCTTCTCCACTGAACTGCTCTTCTGTGCCTCTGAAGAAGACTGTAAAACCTCAAGTTCACTCCCAGGGACCTGCAGGGAAAGCTATGTCACAATTCGGTCTGACAGCTCAAGCCTGCACATACAGCTGAGAATTACTGTTATTAAGCATCCCAGCATGCTGACCTAGTCTTGGAAATATGACAGTCATCTAAATAAGTAGCCATTTGGGATAAAAAAAAAACAACAAACGAACATACCTCCAGCTCCTTGACTTGACTTGTCAGAGTTCTTTAAACCTCAGTCACCTGAGCTGCTAAACAGTATAAATAGCAGAAATTAGGTAATAGTTCAGTCATCTGCCTCTGTTTTTTAGTATTTTGAGTTCATGTGTTTAAGATAGTTAAAGGTCTACAGGACTTTTCAACTCAAATGTTGCAGCCTGACATGTGAACTGCTGGCATTGTCTGCAGTATCGATGGGAAGTTGGATGGATGCAGATAATAAGACTGGAGTGTACCAAAAGCCATACCGGGAAACAAAGCAATGGACTTGGCGGGTAAAAAACCTTCTTTGGATGTTACTCTAGCTCTAAAGGGAAGAATTCAAACATCAGATAATATCAGGCTGCAGATAACTTAGTCAGAGAGAACTTGGTGCTTTCTTCCTGCTCTTTTTCCTCTGGACAGAAGTGCCTTGAGATGTATTTAATTACACTGCTGTGCACTTTTCCTCCTCTGAAAATCTTGCCTTTTCTAGTGGGTAGGGTGACCTGTTCTGAGCAGCCCTGCCTGTGACTGAACTATCCAGAAGACACATCACTAGTTGACTTCAGTGTTGTAGCACAAGCCACAGTGCAGGGAGCATCATGTTTTTTTACACTCTGCCCTCAGGCTCCTTGGAGTGGTGAGTCAGGACACCTCAGCCTTGCACTGTGGTACTTGTTTGGGCTGCCAAGGCATCTCAGCATTGAAGTTTGTATGATACAGACCAAGAATACAACCACGTGCCTCTGTGGAAAATGCCTCCATAAGCACAGGTAAACTGCACTTTGAAAATGACACAGGCAAATGAACCAATTGCACCTCTGAGAAGAGCCTTACAGAAGGTTTCTCAAGGTATCTCCACCTGTGTCACAGAATGGAATCACATATTTACCTCTCTGTCCTGCCCCAGTGTTGTGTTGTTTCATATAAACTTCTGTACCAAATAAATGAGGGCTGAGCAAGACAGCACATTGGTTAAACAAGGCTTACATTAAGCAGAGACATAAAATTAATATGGTATAACATATTTTCTTCTACTATCTTTATTGATTTTCCATGCTTAGTATGACCTTTTGAGAAGCTTGGTAATGTTCAAGAGTTTTTTCTTCATTTTGAAACAATCATCCTCTTTTTTTTTTTTTTTTTTTTTTTTTTTTTTTTTTTTTTTTTTTTTTTTTTTTTTTTTTTTTTTTTTTTTTTTTTTTTTTTTTTTTTTTTTTTTTTTTTTTTTTTTTTTTTTTTTTT